ACTTTTTTTTTTTTTTTTTTTAACTAAGAAAGTAGAATGTTTTAAGGAAACCAATGGGGGTTTGGTCTCTGATTGGTAGGACCTAAATGTATCTGGACAAGAGAACTAATTCTCTGAAAAATGATGGTCTCAACACTTTTGAGTTTCTCAGTCTGATGATTCTACACTGGATTTTTTTGGTGGTGCTAGGGATTGAACCCAGCTCATGCAAGGCAATCTACTACTGAGTTATAGCCTAACACCTACTTTTTTTTTAAGAATCATTTTGCTCCAAGGACTTTTTAAATTCTGTTCTTTTTGGAGAATTTATTTTACCCCCTTCAGACCAAGCAAATACTGTGTACATCAGTTAGTAGGGGATTCATAAGAGGTAGAAATTAATGTTTTTTGCTTTCACGAAGAGTTGAAAGTTGACATAGAATAGCAAGTTCTTTCAGACTGAAGATTTGTGCTAGACTGTGTGGCAGTGACAAATGTAAGGAGAATAAGGATGGAATATGCAAAGATGAGTGTTGGGGCCAGGGAGATAGCTCAGTGGAGTAAGTGCTCGCTTGGCAAGTGCAAGGTCCTGAGTTTGATCCCTGGTACCAAAATATAATAATAATAAATAATAATAATAAAAATAAACTACAAAGATCAGTGTTGACTGGAGTATTTGAGTTTGTGGAGGTGGGATGGAGTTAGCTGTGGTGCTTGTGCTGTGTGGAGGAGGCGCTCATGAGATTTGAGCAGAGCGTACAGGGTGTGGGTGGATTAAGGAGGAGGTACTAGAAAGGTACAGTCCTTTATGGACATAGTACAGAGATATAGGATGGCATTTGGAGATTGAGGACTACAGAGTGTGGTGGCACATGCCTATAATCCCAGCTCTCAGGAGACTGAGGCAGGAGAATCCCTGCCTGAACTGTGTAGTGAGACTTTGGCTCAAAAAGAGGAAATTGAGGACTGAGTAATGATGGACTGTGATAGGAAACGCCCATTTGTGTGTGTGTGTGTGTGTGTGTGTGTGTGTGTGTGTGTGTGTGTATTCGTGTCCATATCTATTTACATATAGTTATATGTCTCATATTTAAGATTCTTTGATAGTCCTAGTTTCTGATATGTACGAAACTAGCTTGTGTATGTGTGTGCATGTATATTTATATTGAAATTAATTTCCCTAATTTGTCGTTTCTTTGGATTTTTTTTTTTTTTTTTTCTTGCGGAATTGGGGGTTGAACTGAGGCCCTTGTGCTTGCCAGGCAAGTGCTTATTCACCTGAGCTATCTCCTCGGCTTCTTTGGATTTTTGAGGTAGGATCTTGAAGTCACCGTGTAGCCCAGACTGGGTTTGAACTTGAAATCCTTCTGGTTTGGCTTCCTGAGGGCTGGGATTAACAGAAGCGTGCCACTGCATTCAGCCAGCCAATATTTTAATGCCATCTGGGGGCTGGAGCAATTAATGTGCTCTTCTGTCCTGCTACTGTTTGGTGATGAGAGTTCACGCAAGAGATTTGTGTTGTGGGTGGTATAATACTTGGTCTTTGCTTTTAACATGTTCCAAATGCCAGAGAGATAGCTCAGTATCTGCCTGGCAAGTGCAAGGTTCTGAGTTCCATCCCTTGTAGAAAGTCTGTCAGAATTAACTTGTTCCAGTATAAAACAACAAAATGAAGAGCAAACCTGAGGGCTGGTGAGGTGGCTCAGTGGTCTACAACACCTACTTAGAACAAGCTAAGCTAAGCAAAGCACAGGGACCACCGTTCAATCCTCCAGCACCACGTCAGCCAGCCCCGCCCCCTGGTGGGCTGAGCTGGCCACACACACAAAAAATAAATGAATAAATAAATAATTTAAAAAAAAAATTTAAAAAAAAAAAGCAAACCTGACCTGTGCCTTTTAGGATCTGCCCTTCTCTCACAGCTTTTTGCCTTTCCCTGCAGGCCGGGGCTTGAAGTCTCACGCCTACATTCACAGTGTCCAGTTTAGCCACCATGTCTTCCTCAACCTCCACACTCTCAAGTTTTACTGCCTTCCAGACAACTATGAGATCATCGATTCCTCACTGGAGGATATCACGGTGCGTGTGCCAGAGGCCTGCTTGGGGCACAGTCATTGGTGAGCCATTCAGGGCTCCTTGGGGACCAGTTCCCTTGGGGTCAGGGGACACTAGAGAGAGGGAGAAACTGGATACATTCAAGGTGTCAGAGCATGTTCGTGGTGACCTCCATCTGGTCTGTGATGTAGTGACTGTCACTAGTCTGGGAAGATCCTGTCCCTTTAATCCCACGGAGGTGGAAGTCCCCAGTCCTGCCCAGAAAGGAGTAGCTGCTCTGCCCCTGAACTAGGTACTTGTGCCACTCTGGGTGAAGTTCCAGTTGAGACTTGGGCTCTTACACACTTTTTTTGCGACAGGGTCTTGCCATGCAGTTCAGGCTAACTTTGAATTTACAATGTAGTTGAGGCTGGGATTACAGGGGGCACCACAACCCGGCCCTCTTACATGCTTTAGAGAACTGAGCATTGCATCCTCCTGCAGCCTCCTGACTACTGGGATTAAAGGTGTACACCACCATCTGTAGCTGGTTGAGATCTTTTCTTGTATGGTAGGATGTTCATGACCAGAGCATTTTTGTTTATGGTTTTGACAGATATTTGAGAGAATTGTTTACAGCTGTAGAACAACTTAGATTTTTTTTTTTCCTCTCCAGTATGTGTTGAAGCCTACTTTCGCAAAGCAGCAGATTGCAAACTTGGACAAGCAGGCCAAATTGTCCCGAGCTTATGATGGTACCACTTACCTACCGGGTATCGTGGGACTGAATAACATAAAGGCCAACGACTATGCCAATGCTGTTCTTCAGGTAGGCTCAAGAATTGGCAGGAATTAGTGCCTACCCATGTTGCATTGTGAGCCTTTGTACCTTTTTTCCCTTTCCCCCTGACTCCCTCCATCCCAGAAACCTTGTGGTTTCTCTATAGTAGTCTATTTCCTGTCATCTTTTATTTTGCTGCTTATTAATTTATTCTGAGACAGGGTCTCTCTGTATAGCTCAGGCTGGCCTTGAACTCACTGTGTAGCTGTGAGCTCACTATGTAGCCCATGCAAGCCTTGAATTCATTGATCTTCATGCCTCAGCCAACCAAGTATTGAGATTGCAGGTGTGTGCCACCTTACCAGGCTTTAATTCTCTCTTCCCTCCCTTTCTGCCTCCCTTTTCTTTTTCCTTTTGCCTTTCTTTCCCTTCCCTTCCTTTTCCTTTTTTCCTCTTCTTCTGTTCTTTGTTTTGTATTGATCCTGAGATCTTTTCACTACTCAGGTATATTCTTGGCCCTTTTATTATTTTATTACTTATTGTTTTAAGTTTTGAGACAAGGCCTCACTGTGTTGCTCAGACTGGGCTAGACCTTGTGGTCCTCCTTCCATAGCTTCTCAGAGTGCTGACAGTATAGCTGTGCACCATCACACCTGGCTTGACCATTTTCCATCCTAACTGTGCATTCATGTGGAATTACATGGTTTTATTTTGGGAAAATATCAAATTTTTTATCTTAAATTTTATGTAGTTTGGTGCAAGGTCTCAGTATGCAGCTTGGGCTCATAGTGATCCTCCTGCTTCAGGCTCCCTAGCACTGGTATCACAGGCATGCGCCATCATGCCTGGTTTGGGTGGCCAGCTCAGTGCCCCTTGGGTGGGGCCAGCATGGTATGTAGTACTGGGGATCAAATGTGGGCCCTTGTGCTTGCTGAGGCAGGTGCTTAGACCACCGAGCTATATCACATTTTATTTAGATGAATTTCATTTTGTTTTAGCATGGGCTTGAAAGATGGGGACCTAAAGTCCTTTGTGGTACCCACATCTGCCCAGTGCCTGCAGAGCTGTGCGTCATGTTGGCGTCACTGTGGAGGGTATTTCTGTAATGTGGGCTCGGGGTAGGATTCCCTGACAGTCTGCTACTCCAGCCTCTTTAAAGTCAGCTCAGGCCTGTCCCAAGGTTCTGTTAGAAGAAAGTTAGCATCAAGAGCTTGGCTCCAAGGGCTTTGGATTTACCAGAGTTTGGTTCTAGGCTCTGTCTAATGTTCCTCCTCTCCGGAACTACTTCCTGGAAGAGGATAATTATAAGAACATCAAGCGCCCCCCAGGGGACATCATGTTCCTGCTGGTGCAGCGTTTTGGCGAGCTCATGAGAAAGCTGTGGAACCCTCGGAATTTCAAGGCACACGTGTCTCCCCATGAGATGCTTCAGGCTGTTGTCCTTTGCAGCAAGAAGACTTTTCAGATCACCAAACAAGGTAAGGAACACGTCATCCATGTTTTCCTGAGTTGAGGACAGCAGAGTTAGTTTGACAGACAGACCTATTTCCACCATGCAGTGACTTTTGAAAGTATTCTGAAGTGTGAGTGTCCAGTGAGTAGTGAGGTTCTTTACTGTGCTCTAATTAGTTGGCCCTGCTCAGGCTCCCAGGAAATTGTAGGGAATTGAAAATTTTTTCATTTTGTAAAATAAACTGTGGCCTGGGGGAAACCCGGAGGCTGGGAAAGGGATCAGCCTTTCTTTGAAGCCCCTGCTGCCTGTGCTGTTTTTGCTGGGTTCCCTTCCAGAGTACTCTGGTGAATCATTTTGATTGCTGCTGTCCTCTCTCTGACCCAAGTTGGCATTACCTTGTGAGTAAAGTAGACCCTGATCTCCTGTGGTATCTGCTAGGATCCACATGCATTCATGGTGCTAGGTTTTTTTTTTTTT